GTAACGTGTGTTGTCTAATCATATCCTTGGTCTCTAAACCTCATCTGCACAGCTTTGTTTTGTTTTGCTGACATACTTTCTGCTACGTGCTGGTTCTGAATGTAGCTGTTCAACCCCAGCTCATGCATGTCGTTAGTTTTCCATGTGTATTTCCTTTGCTCCCTGGAATCCATATGGGCTCTTCTAGATCCTGTGGGAACCTGATGGATCTAGCTCAGGTTTGTGATCCTAATCTTACATCTAGGGGTAGAAATCAGGAGGTTAACACTGAGGCAAGGGGTGATACTCAACACCATTACTTAGGTGTCTGTGCTGGAGGTAGGCGTCTCAGTTCCTGTGCAGTGAAGATGTAGTGAATATGGTGAAATCTAGAGAGCTTCTCAGTTCGCCCTGCAGCAGCACCCTGCAGTAGGACTCTAAACAGCTGAATTTCTGTCTGGTTTCTATTAACTGTATTGACATATGATACAATTCAGCTCATTGCACATAGGTGTCAGATGTCATTTGTACTGCCTGAGGATGTCCTGCCATTCCAAAAGATTTGAGTCTCCAATAGATCCCATGTCAAATTTGGCAGTCCCATCAAGCTTAGGACACTTTAAATGGCATCAAGCAACTACATATGGGGAACGGGACTGAGTCCACTGTGCCTTTTGCTTTCACCAGCAGTTCTTTTTGTTTTCCTTCCTCCTCCCTCAAGTGTAGTTCAAATTTTATTTAGCAAATAGATAAGATTTATTTGTAGTTAAGAATGGGCGTAACTCTGGTCATTGATACCAGGGTGTTTCAAAGCTGAGAAAAGTTCTTTATGTATTTTTCATCTGCACCTCACAAACATTATTTTAATGAGACTGAAACAAAGTTCAGGAACCGGTCAGTACTCAGCGTCTGAGCCGATATTTGGATCAGACTTTGGCTTTGCTACTTGCACCAGTCTCTCTGGATACAAACATAACAGTGTATGAAAATAGCACATCTTTTGCAAACAACTGATATCTAAGAACATTGTTCCTTTCAAATTCACTGTATTTTCAAAGTAGGTTGTTCATTGATGAGTATTTTTGGAATCAGCACTGGGGCAAATGAGAGAAAAGATTGGGAATCATTCCCTACAACATGGATTTTGCCTGGAAGGGACCAGATCCTCCACCATTGAAAACTGGACCATATTTGTGAAAATGCAGAAAAATGCCTGATTTAAACTTCCTTGCACTAGTCATCTGTAGCTTCCTCATTTGCTTTGGTAGCGTATGTCTACAAAATTTGCAAGACAAGAAATTGCAAGAGGAGTAAGGGTTGGCTTTGGGTAACTGGATGGCTCTACTTCATGAACAGGTGATAATTTTAGGTTTGTGTTGTGCCTACTTAAATAGATATAATTGGCAAATTATATAAGCTGAATGCTTCAGACAGACTTGTTAATGTATACAGTGTTACTTATTTATTTATTTTAGATGGCAAAGAATTTGATGCTTTTGTGTCCTATGCAAAACTAGACTCTTCTGAAAGTGACTCTACTTTAATTAGTGAGGAAAAATTTGCCCTGGAGCTCCTTCCAGATATGCTGGAGAATAAATATGGATACAAGTTATGCATTCTTGAAAGAGATATTCTTCCAGGAGGAGGTAAGGTCCCTGTGGATGGTAGAAAATCTTCAGTTCTTTACAAAATTGTTTTTCACTTTCCAAAAAACCTTATGCACCAGATCAGCAAATGGTGTATTTTGGTACTGGAGCTTCTGCTCAAATCTCATTGTGTTTTGATCTTTATATCTGGCCCCTGCACCTGAGGTACACACATGTCTGAATGTGGTCTCTGGGGAGCTACTAGGCTGACACAAAGTTTCTTGTTCAAGAATTTCTTTGCAAGCAGACTCCATTCACTGAAAAGAAGACCTCAAATATTTCAGTAGTTACTTTCTGAGCAACTTTATTCACTGCTACCTGCAGTAATTAGAAAGCCCTCAGTACCTGTCCCTGGGAGAGACAAAGACAAGTCCAAGTGTCCCTTGAGACCCTCTTTGAGTAGCAACAAAGTGTGTTGAGGTCTCAGCTGTGCCCTCTGCCTGAGCAGCAAGTTGTGTTCTCCAGGCTGCATAAGAATGGCCGCGGTACCCTCTGACAGCAAACACATTTCTGTTCGTGATTGCTCAGCATCCCTATTTCTGGTTTTCCCCATTTCTGGGGTTTAGCTAAGATAAGATAAGATAAAAAGTCCATTATAGAATGCAATAACAATCACCATTTCTTCTCCAGCATACACAGATGAAGTTGTTACAGCTATTAAACAAAGCAGACGAGCAATAATTATTTTGAGCCCAGCCTACGTCAGCGGACCAAGCATCTTTGAACTGCAGGCAGCGGTGAACTGTGCGTTGGAAGACAAGAAGATCAAACTGGTATTAATAAAGTTCCAGGCTTTCCAAGAGCCAGAGACTTTGCCTCCAGTAGTGAAGAAGGCTCTTCGGATTTTACCAGTCGTTACCTGGAAATCTTCTATCTCTGCTGCTCCAAACAAGAAGTTCTGGAAATATATGCATTACCACATGCCAGTGAAAACTACTAAGATGTTGGGAAATTGCAGCCTGAAGGGCTTTTTCCAAAGGTTATTCAGTCTGGTATATCGATAGCAGCAATTTCACAGAGGGATGACAGCAGGCTTAGGAATGGTGGTGTGATTATAAAAGACCTTTTCTACATTGGCTGACCACTGTGGACTGTCACTGCAGTCAGCAATAGGTCACTCCAAAACAGTGAGAAGGACTGCAGTGTGACAGTAAAACTAAGTGGCACTGCACACAACTGTAAATGTGAGCTATCTTTCATAAATTATTATTTTATTATTATTTTTATTGTATTTATTATATCCTTTTGCTATGATGTTGAGACATACATGTGAATGTTTTGTTCTTTGCACTGTGTTTCTTCTGGAATATTTTTATACTTGTTTTCTAGAAAAAGATTTAAAAAGGGAACTCCAGAGGAAGCCTGCAGTTTAATTTTCCTGTGCAGTCCAGTGGGACAAATCTAAACTTTTTAAACTAATTACCTCCTCCTGTGGGAGTACCAAGGAAGAAAAGCTCTGGGAGACTGCCCCAACTGGGTATGCCGAAGGGGTTGAGAAAAGAAGGAGCACTGTGTCAGGGCTGATCCCAGATATCTCCATTCTTCCTGCAATGGGAGAAAGCATTCCTACCAGTTGTGAAACATTTCACACTCGGAGACCTCTGCAGACTGCTGATCCTGTCTGGTGCTGGTCGCTCATGGGTCCCACTGAACCTGTTGGTATTATGGGTGTGTCACGGTTGCAAATCAAAGTCCTGGTTGTCACAGCTAGTAGACTTCCAGGGACTCTGAAGTCTTTCCCTTGCAGTCTTCTGGCTGCTAACTCTCCAGAGTTCATAGCGCTTACCCACAAGGAAGCTTGTAGTCTATGTGGATGGCTGTAGCTAAGTGAAATGCAATGGTTAGTGTTAAGAAAATCTGAGTAGGAAAGCCACTGATCTGGTGTTCTGCTGACTTCATTTGGCTTTTAAGTTAATGAATCCTTGTTTTATAATGCTAATTGAATAGTTTGTCCACCAGATTCCTTGTTGGAAAGGGACTTCAAGAAATACTGCTGACCTGAAAAAAGAACAACTCTTTTCCAAGAAGGCTGAGCGTTCTACCTAATTTTGTATCGGGTTCAAAGTCTTCAGTGGGACAACTGGTGGTGGTGCTGTGAAGCAGAAGCAGAAGATAGTGTCTCATGTAGAAAGAGAACATCGAACAGCATCACTGGCTATACCAGAGAAAATTTTGTCACTGCAGTTGCACCTGCATTGGTGTTTAAGTTCCGATCATGATAAGCTTTTGAAGCAAATTTCCCCATTGTCACCACTTGTTGCCTTTTCCTTTGCACTCCAGAGCATCTTGGAGCGCACTCACTGGATCCCTAACGTAGAGGTAACCCGACAGTCTGTGAGATTCAGCATTGTTTTCCAACACAACCAGATCTGTGGGATCCGTGAATAATTTGTCAGTAAATTAAATTTACTCACTTCTAATTTATGTAATACAGGCTTTAGCAGCTTCTAATCAACATTACTGTGTTTGCACACTTTGTTTTCCTAACACAGTTTTTGTGGAGGACAGAAGAGGCTGACCTTTTAAAAAAATGTTCCATAATGGTGAATGTCTTGTTGGAGGAGGAGAATTTGGTTGTCCAATAAATGTCTTGCTGGCATGAGTAAAACAAATATTAAATACAAGAAAACTCAACATCCAGTTTTAGGCACATCATGTGACTCAGACATTCCTCTTTCTTTTTATAATGTGCTAAGTTGCATACATGCATTTAAGAGAGAGAACGCATTTCCAAACGAGAGCGTAATTTGCGTGATCTTCCACCAGATGTCCCTGCCGAAAGCCCTGCGGAGTCCATTTATTTACACACCCAGTATTTTTGTTACCAGGTGCGACAGGACCAGCGAGCAGTGCCAAGTGTGGTACCTGAGGTGCCAGTTGCGCTGGGGAAGCAGACGGGCAGTGAGGGCAGGAGAGGAAGGTGTGGAGCAGGCTCTCCTCCCTGCTCAGGGTGCCACCGTCTCTCCCACCTGATGCTATCTACTCGCATTGCACTTGCTGCCTGAATGGTGTGCACTGTGGCTTTTTTTTTCTCTTTTTTTTGAGAGTGGGAAAAAAATCAGAGTGCCTGGATAAATAATGTCGTTGGAAAGGGCTTTTTATTCCTTAACAGGGTGATGCTGTGGCCAGGGTTTATCTGGGTCAGAGGAACCTGCAGAACCGGTATCTTCATACAAACTCCAGGTCCATCTGTAACACAAGGAACAGGACAGGCACATCAGGGCTTTTAGAGTGACCTCTAATAGGCAAATGAAGCAGCCCTGAGGAAGAAGCGGCCGTGACTATGAGCAGCGCGAATCAACAGGTGTAAGTGTTGCATACCTTCATGCACCCACTATACGCTATATCTGTAATAAAAGAGTCACAGTCCCAGACATGGGCTCTGCCACGCTTGCACATGCAAAGCTTTTGAACTGGTTGCTGTCGCTGTCGAGTCTGGTATGCTGTTCTGCTGCTGCTTATGTGGACGAGCCCAACCTGAGCAAGAGTTTCTTGCCTCACCATGAACCTGATGTTGGCTCTTCACAAGATACGAGGTTACATGTTTTCACAGTGGACTATGACTATGTGCAAATTCCTTATGAAGTTACTCTTTGGATCCTCCTTGCCTCTCTTGCAAAAATAGGTAAGTAGAAAATGGGATCTTGGGTCCTCCTACCTCGGCAAGAAGTTAAAAACATACCATGTAACCAAGTATCTTCCATGCATTTTTGTAGCTGCAATTGTTTTTACAGCTTCTGTCCTCAGAAGAACAGGTGTGTTCATTACCATGAGAATGACAAAATTCCACCTCTGAATGCTTCCAGCTCACTTATGTAAATATATGACCTCTAGCCCTCATGTCTCTTGGGTTGTCTATGCCGATGAGTAGCAACGGAGCTCCCCTACACAGTGCTGTCCATCCCTTTTTCTAATCTTTAAGCATCACAAGATATCAGAATTTACAACCTGCCACAGGTTGTGGCAATACATCTACCTTCTATTAGATCTCCATGTAGGTATCTGAATGAAGAAAGACAACTCATGGAGAAGTAGGGACTGCAATTAACATAGCAAAATTGGCTCACCATGTGTCTTATGCGTTTGCATGGCTGGGCTCAAATTATTTTGACCATTCAGAATGAATAAATGAAGAAGAAGGTAATAATGTGAAAAGCTGCACGCATGGGATCTCCCTGTCCTTTTGATCTTTCCATGGGATTTTCAAACATTACTAAGAACAGGCTGGTAGGTGGGACTGATGATTTTCTGGAGGTGGCCTGAAGATAAACATTTTTCATGTCATAGTCACACAATTGACAAAAATTGTTAACACTGACCATGATTTGCCAGTTTCATAATAGCTGATGATCTTAATCCAATTCCTATAAACAAATGTCTTCACTGGTAAAATAATAATAAGAATTTTCACAAATCAAATTTGTTGTTATGGCATCAGCAGAGTGTGTTAGCAGTGAGCATATTGATCAATTTCTTTATTCATCATCCTTAAAAGCACAGGACTTGCCATATGGCACATCTCCTCGATAATCTTGATTTGAACAAGAAAGAGATACTTTAGAAGAACTGTGTGATGCTTCCCAAGCAGACCTGTTCCTTAGCTGGGAGTTTTCAAATAATATATTTTTTGATGAAAAGTGTGGAGCTGCTGACTTCAAATCTACTTGGAAGAAAGAGTTATTCTGAATAATCTGGTTACCCAGGGAAGAAGATTTCCAAACTGTTAAAAATTTCCAGTGTTTTATTCAGGTATTATCTTCTTTCTGGATTTCAAGATTTCAGGGTGGGAAACATTTCTGAGGTCTTGTAAGGCAAACCAATCCCCTTATTATCTAAAACTGACAGAAGACTTGAACATGATTTTTTTAATTCAAAAAGGAGATGAGTAGAGTTATGATCTTAACATACTTTTTGGTAAAAACAAATAGTCTCCTGAATAAATTATTTAAAATTTCATAAGAATATTTTCCTTTTCCTTTACTTTTGAACATTGATAATTTGAGGGTAACAGAAATGCAGTCATGGCATTAGCTTCTAGAGTTACGGGATGAAGGTTGACCTAGCTTCAGGCACGGAGACAGCCATTGGATTTATAGGTTTCTTAGTCTGCCTCCTTCTCATTCTTGTAAACTCTGAAAAATTCCTTACATTTCTAGTAGAGGCACCTCTCATTCGCAATATGATTACAACAGTTCCTGGTATAGCGACGAGATGAGCGATTGCTAGACATTATGTTAGTATTGGTATCAGTATTTGTGTCAAATGGGAAAAATTATATGAACACAGTTGCTGTAGTAGGCGGGCAGGAGGAGATTCACACCCACAACATTCATATGGTAAGCGTAGCCCTTTCTCTGTAAAACAGCTTGGCTACATCTATGCTTGTAAACTAACAAGCACCCTGTCAGGAAGCTGTGTGTGACTGTCCATACCACATCATCTTGGTGTGCTCCTTCTCAGCTCTGGCACATGTCGACAAGCCTTCTCCCAGGCAGTGCCCAGGCAGGCTGTGGGCCAGGTTCATTTCCCACAGGCGGTTTGGATGTGACCACTTCTTGCTGGGGTAGGGAAGAGAATTTGGCTATGTGGATGCAAGCTAAACCTTTCTGGTTGGAAAGGTCTTTGCCCTGCTTAATTTGCTATTGTAGACTCAGCCTTTATTCTAGTGAGGAAAAAAAAAATCCCTTAGGATGCATTATTTTCTCAGATATTTGATGGTTGCTGGTTGTTCTTTCAGCTCTGCTGAAATCACTGGTTTTGTTTCAGTAAACTAACTCATAAGGTTCTTTATAAAATGTTGTTTACCTTACGTAGGAACAGCAGTTTTCCCAGAAAAGCAAGGTTAATCAGCTTGTACAAAGCCTTATGTTACTGTTTGCTGCTTCGGATATTTTGTTGATCATGAGCACTCACTCCCTCTGTCTGTGGATCACCTGGAGTCCATGCAATGCTTCAGGGGAGTGCTGGAAGTGGAGGGAGCTGAGCAGACCATGGCATCTGAGCTTCTCCCTGCTCTCTTGGGCTTCTCCAGATTCCTGGTCGGCCCAAATCCAGCAGGAGCTCTGCAGCTAGGGACCCTCCTCAGCACTTGGGGGAGCTGCCTTCGAACCTGCAGTCGGGGATAGGGGTCTCTTTGAGATGGAGGGACAATATTGTGCCTTGGAGGTTTGGCAATAGCGGTTGGGCAGCAAGGGTTCTTGAAGAATATTTTCTTTCCAAATTGTGGAGTACCTTTTCAAAGAAGTTTCTGCATTCCTAGAAGTGGAGCTTAGACTCAGGCACGCTTGCTCAGAAATCGAGAGCTGGGGAGAGGGAAGAGAAGAGATTCATGGCCAAACTCTTCTCCTGTTTTAGTGATACAAGTATGGGAATGTTTAATCTTGAAGGGAACAGTACTGCCTGTTTTTATATTCATAATCCTAAGAGCAAAACCTGGCTGTCTGAAGACAAAGTGTTCGAAGGCAGGCAAAACATCTGTCTGACATCAGGTTAATTTAAACTTGAATAATACCCTAATGTTTTATTCAAGGTTTCCATCTCTATCACCGATTACCAAGACTCATGCCGGAAAGCTGCATCCTGATTGCCATTGGAGCATTAGTAGGAGTGATCATCTTTGCTTCTGATCACAAATCTCCACCAGTAATGAACTCAAGTATTTACTTCTTGTATCTCCTTCCACCCATTTTCCTGGAGGAGGGTTATTTCATGCCAACTCGCCCATTTTTTGAAAACTTTGGGTCCATCCTGTGGTGGTCTGTGCTGGGATCTCTGCTAAACTCGTTTGGGATCGGCCTCTCCCTCTACGGAGTGTGCCAGATCGAAGCCTTCGGCCTGACCGACCTGAGCCTGCTGCAGAACCTGCTCTTTGGCAGCATGATTTCAGCCGTGGATCCTGTGGCAGCTCTGGTAGTTTTTGAAGAAGCCTCCGTTAATGAGCAGCTGTACATGATGATCTTCGGAGAGTCATTGCTAAATGGTGGCATAACTGTGGTGAGTTTCCTTCCACTCCTTGTCTTCCCCTCTTTAGGCTCTTGTGGCTTGTAGGGTTATTGGGCACAGGACAAGAGCAGCTCTAAGGAGATCCTAGATACATTATTTATCTTATGGATACTCCACCCATTACACACAAGTAATTTTTATGTATGTAAAGATTACATCTTATATGAACTCTTTCAAAAACATATTGTTTTAGAGCTGCTGGAAGAGGGAAGCATACACATACACATTAGACATCACATCTTGCTCTTGCATTCACTGAAGTGAATGGATAAGCTACAGCTGATTTTGCTGGTAGGATCAGTGTAAGACCTAGGAACGTTCTTGACATTGTGCAAGCAAATAAATAGAAAATTGTGCTACTTAAAGATTGAAGGCAGCAGGGGTAGCAATACAGGAGACCCTGCCTTGTCACATGCCTTAGAGAGCCCTCTGCAAAAAAAAAAAAAGCCAGATGTGGACAACCTCTGGAGGCCGCACTCCTTCCTCCAGCCCCTTCTAGGAAGTTTCCCAGAGACCTTAGACAGGAATTCCAAAAGCCACTAATAACTTTGCATAACTCTGTTTCTATCAGTAAAAAAATTGACATCGCAAATGTTCACCTTTCTTGGCTGTCTTATCTCAAGTGTCCAGAAACAATGCTTCTGGAATAAGAGAGATTTTGTTTGTTGGGTTTTGTTTTTTGTTTTTTGTTTTTTTTTTAAATTGGAAAAAAATGTTTTTACAGAGCTCCTTTTGCTAATACTTTTCCCCTTTTCTCATTAGATCTACTAAAACTTGGAGCAACCTGAAATTCTAGCTGTAAACCACAATTGTCAAAAACACTTAGAACATGCATGTTTTTCAAGGAAGAAATTTCAAGCAGGAAATTAATTGCTCAGAAACCAACAGGACTGCTCATGTGCTGCAAGTTAACTGCAGGTTAAGGAGTTTTGCTAGATAAGATCTTTACAGAATTCAAATCACAGGAATCTAAACCACATAAAAACTACTCAGATACTGTTATACCCGAGGTACAGCACAACTTGGACTTGTAAAATCTGTACAGAGTTCATTGCTGAAAGGCTTCATGGGAGAAGTGCAGTTTATGAGTAACGCGAAAAGGAAAAGGAATGAAGTAATTTCTTGCAGCCACAGCCTATTGATCATAAATCCTTCCTCTTGGTGAACCAGAGGTGAAGGGCTGATGTAGAACTAAGGGACAAATGTTACTTAACTTTACATGCAAACCACTTATGTGTTATAGTTGTAACAAAAAAAAAAAATAATCCCCAATGCATCTATCACTCTCACTTGTCTTTTTTGGTTCCTTCAAGGGCAGACCTCAAAAAGTAATACCTCTTCCTCACTCTGGAAAAGCTTGTTTCATCCTTTTTTTGACTGGCTCTCTACCTTGCCTTCCCTTTGTTCTCAGCTGTTATTTACGATGTGGGTCCAACTCATGGTGGTATTTACATGAGCTTTCAGTCAGGATCCTGTTACAGCATAAATGTGTAGTGACAGAAAGCCTTTAAAAACAGTGGTATTTAGGCATTCCTCAGCAGCATTAGGTGTGTTAGCAAAAGAGATGAAAGGGCTGTACGTGGGGAGTGTGGGCTGCACCACTGTGAGTTCTCTTTGCCCCACGTGCCCTCATCTTTGGGGTTCCTCTCACAGCAGCTATGTTGCAATCAGTTTGTCAGCTCCTGCTGATGCATCTCTGCATCAACCACCTCTCATCCATTTTTGGGGCATTCAAGTTTTCAAAGTCTCTGCCTGGCTTCATGTTTGAGAAGACTGAAGTATTTGTCACCTGACTGGAGCCCAATAGGTCTTTCTCCTCTCTGATACCCCACTTGCTTTTTTAAAGGCTTTAAAACCGTTTATCTCAGGTGTCTTATCTTACCATTTCCTCACGGTTTCTCTCTGAACAGTTTCATCTGAGTTAACTCTATGTGTTTAAAAAGATAATATCACCAAGATATATTATGCATACATATTTTTTGATTGTTTAAATACAAATATCCCCTCGTTCTCTCCAGTCTGCTTATCAGCTTGAACATTTTTTTCCCCAGCACAAAAAACTGATACGAATTTTGCTGAACTTGTGTATTACATTTGAGGCAACAATAGCTCCCTCTCCTATATTTAGTTCAATATCCCGGTATAAAAAATTTGCAAAATAACAGACAGTGGAATTAGAATGGTGACTTAGGAGTTATGCCTTTGACTTAAGGGACTGGGACAAAAGTGCATAATTTACCCTTTTTACCCATTTGTACCTTTTCCCATTCTCTTCAACAGGGCCATGTCTGTAAATGGAACAAGATGGCTCCAAGTCCTGTTAATTGCTTCTTTTCCTAGTTGCTTCTCAGCGGAGTGTTAACATCAGAATAGTGCAGACAGCAACAGGACTGGTCCTGGCATGTATCATACATTAGTGGAGTTTCAAAGCCCGGTTCAAAGCAGTGGTGTTGGTAAATCCAGTGAAGATTTCATTCAAACCTGAACACAGGTGGAGGACACTGATTTTGCTGCGAAGTGTTTCAGGCATCTGAAGCTCTGCTCCCCCATATACACAGACCACTTCTGTCTCAACAGGAGCTGAGGACCTGTGTGCATCAGGAAACAGAATATTTCCCCCGGCTACTTCAGCTCTGAGGTTTGATTTTAGAAACACTGAGAACACCTGTACATCATGCTGTACTCAAAATGAAGTGGCAGTGACTATTTTCTCTAATGGTGCCCTCTCTTCTTTGAGTGCAGTAGCAGAGCAGTTAAAGAAATCTACTGCATGATGGAGGCCCAAGTAAAATTAATTTCTTTATTTGAGGGGATTTGAATTTACCTCTCTGATGTTGCTGAGGAAGGCTTTGACCACTGGGATGTATGGGTGCTAGGAAGGAGGATGGAGATATTCTCTGCTCCTGCTGTTGAAGTTGACCCACTGTGTTTAGAATAAAATCAAATGCATGTGGTCAGAAAGAGTTATCAGGGTGGAAAGAAAGAGTTATCAAGGCTGCGTGTGTTGGTGGTTAAGGCAGTCACTTGAAAATCTTTTTTCCAATGCTTCTGATGTGGATGGCATGTGCAATGTTTGTATCATATAGACAGCTGGAGCAGGGACCAGTCCCTGGGGAGGTCCCCTGTGGGCGACAGTGTCACGCTCTCTCTTCCTCTCCCTGGCACTAACAGCCACCCAGTGGTACACCACTACACGGTAATGTTCCCTCCAAAAAACCCAAAGCATGACATTCTCAGAGTTGCTAAATGAGGCCAACTGTCAATCCATCCCTCCTCTTTGAGTGAACAAAGGCATCCTAAGCTGATTCATGCTTTCCTACCATATAAATAATTATAGTACTCCATTTACTGACATAAACACTGCAATGTAACTTAGCCGAGCAGCAGTTACATACCTTACTTGTATGACACAGTGCAGGATGTTGTACAGAACAGTTTACTCCCGCAAAGCATGTTACAAAAAAATGGAAATTATGTCATATTTTCATAATTTCCATTTTAATGCCAATTCAGTTATATCATATAGACACTTTAGGAACTAGACAATCGGAGAAAAACTAAGTCATTTGCTGAGGATAATTTGCTTTATTCGTAAGTCAGCATAGATTCATGCCTTGGTATCATTTATAAAGAATCACAAGTCTTAGGAAGAGGTTGAAGTCTGCAAGAAAGGGGGAACAGAGAGAAAACAGGCTTTGTAATTAAAAGCTACATGGTAAGTACAGTAAGGTATACTTACTGTGGAGACATGAACCCTCTTTTCCTTGTCTGCCAAGGAAAAGCCTAATTTCATACATAGTCATCAGGAAAAAGCAGCTCAGGTGAAACATTTTGTTGTGCTTTGTCTGTCCTCCAGAAATATTAGCAATGAGCCTCCTGGAGAACAGGCTGTGTGACAGCTCAAGGTCATATGTTCCCAGCAGCAATTTAAGATTAGGTAGTAGCTGGGGAATAATTATTATCCTAATGAGCCTGACTCTTCTACCTGCAAATATCTGCTTTAATCTTCTTAATAGCCTTCTGGAATTAACTATATGAAGAAGAAAGACCAAAGAAAACCAGATAAGGCAAATGATTTTGGTCCGTTTTGCATTTTTGAACTAATGCTTTGGTGCAACAGCTTTGGAGAGCTGATGTCTTTAGATGTTCCCAAAATTCTCTTGAAAACTGAAAGGTGACTTTCATGTGTTACACATGCCCTGTAAACAGATCTGACAGGACTTAATGTTAACCGACTGTCAGCAACCTCTAAGACCTTTTTATTACTACACCACTCATTACTGTGGAAACGTTCTATTAGTTTCGAAAAGGTGGATGAAAGTGGAATATACTGAAGAGTTTTCATTATGAATTTCTGCAGAAAAGAAATTATTGATAACAGAACTACGGTAAACTTATCTGCTGTAAATGAAATGAAATTATCTTTACAGACCAAATGATATAATGTAGCAAATTCAATCTTTCTTCTAATCTGACATTGTTTTCTTTTTATTACTGTGATTTCAAGCTTTCTAGTGAAAAGATATTTGTGAAGGGTGTTTAGGCCACTTAGAGTGCCACAGCTTTTGGTTCCCACTTTGAGATTGACACAGAGTTCCTGGGAAGAAGGGTAAGAGGCATCAAACCTAAAACATGTGAGGATAGAGAGGCTGTATTTATCTGGGTAGAGACAATATGAAACTGAGGCTACCATTTTCCCTTCCCTTCCCTTCCCTTTCTTCTCCTGCTTCCTTTCCTATTTCCAGTGATGTTTCATGATTTTATGTGTCAAGTACTATTGAAAAACTTTTAACATTCCAGAGTCCATCTAATGAAGCGTGTTCAGTCTACTGACACCTAAATGTGACTTAAATCAAAAGTGTGACTCAGTTGCCACCTGCCCCATCCTGAGTCAGAAAGAGAACCAGCCTGGGGTTGGTAAGGTACCCAGCCGGGCTTTCAACATCTGCTATGAAGTCAAATAACTAAGTTTACCTTCAGAAAACAAAAAAGCATGAGTAATTTTTGGTTACTTCAATTGCATTTAATTCCCCAGAATTTTACTCTTATAACATAACCATCTACCCTTCTTTTTTCTGCTATTTTTCAGGACACTTAACAGACCCTTAGTTCTGGGACTTGTTAAGAACCAGCAGAGATTTCAACTGTTACTTTGCTGAGCGGTCTAAAGCAATTTCAGGCATATACACACACACCCCCCCAACCCCACCCCACTATGAAATGAGTAAGCCTGACAGGTTCAGAAAGACGCCTGACTGCTGTCTTCTTCTTTTCACATGTAGGTTTTATATAACATCTTCATCGCCTTCACCCAGATGCACAGATATGAAGAAATCGAATCCATTGATGTCTTTGCTGGCTTTGCTCGCTTCTTCGTGGTCGGGCTGGGTGGCGTGTTGTTCGGCATCGTCTTTGGATTTGTTTCGGCGCTCATGACTCGATTCACCCACAATGTTTCTGCTATCGAACCCCTGCTGGTCTTCATGTTCAGCTACCTGTCATACTTGTCTGCTGAAACCCTTTACATCTCAGGCATTTTGGCGTAAGTATCCCTTACGGCTTTTTGGATGCCCTCTCCAGGAAAGTGGCATTGTTTTAAGGAGGTGGTTTGCTTGCGGTTTGTCTCTAGCCCAGACATCTGCAGGGGACGGCTTCTAAGGGATCTGTAAAATGCACTGGTAACTAGGAAAAGCAAACCCACAGTCAGTGTAGGCATGGATGTACTACTGAGGAGTGCGTATCTGCTCTGAAATTTTTTTAGATTTTTGCCCGTTGGAAAAAATACCGCAAGCCGTGGGTAAAATGACTAGCGCTGCCACCATCTGGCTGCCACCTCTGATAAGATCAGCAGAATGAAAGAATGATTTGATAACAGATCAGTGTATCTGTATTTATTTCTCAGCAGCATCACCATCAGATTACAAGAGAGATGAAAAGTAATGGGTATGGAAAACATAATAAAGAAGTTTGAGTTCTTGCTTTTGTATACAGCTGTGAACATCAGCTCTAACACAACTTACTGGAATTACATAACATTTGAACAGCATCACTGGAACTGAAACTGGGCAAAACCAGACAACCAAGAACATCAAGCACATGTGCATACTCATATGCATACTCATACACATATGCATATCCATATACTCATGTATGTGGATATTGACAATCATATTTTGATGTGATCTGGACAGCTTGATACTGCTGCAGTGCTGGGGACTTCTTCCTTAAAGTGCTGTGATGGCATGGGTGCTCACTGCAGAGAAAAAGCTGGCAGGTCTATGGACCGCAATAAATGCAGAGAGGGTGAGTATTGTGGGAAGGAAAGAGGATGGCAGCAGGAAGGAGTCAGAAGAGAAAGGAAGGAATAGGGGTGAAAGTGAGAGATTTTACGAGAAAACTGCTGGTAGGTGAATTTTAAAGATACCACACCAAACAGCCTCTCAGCAGGGTGAAGTGTAAAGAAATGGGAACCTGGTGGTGGTAAATGCTCCAGCTAGTGCTGCTGGCTGCTGCAGGCTCGGTGCCCAGCTGGTGGGTGGCAGCAGCCTTCATGGCCTGTGTTGGCTCGGAGCTTGCATGCCGGGTCTTGCGGGCCCTGGTGCTCCAGAAAGGAGTTCCCTTTATTGAGAACAAACTTGTTTAAACCTAACAAATACAAGCGTGTAGCTGTTAATGTCCAGACAGGTGCATTTATTCACCTCCACTTGTCAAACCCTGATTTTATAGAATCATAGAATCACAGAATAGTTTGGGTTGGAAGGGACCCTTCAAGGTCATCTGGTGCAACCCCCCTGCAATGAGCAGGGACATCTTCAACTAGATCAGGTTGCTCAGAGCCCCGTCCCACCTGACCTTGAATGTTTCCAGGGATGGAGCATCTACCACCTCTCTGGCCAGCCTGTGTCAGTGTTTCACCACCCTCACTGTAAAAAATGCCTTCCTTATATCATCTAGTCTAAATCTACCCTCTTTTAGTTTAAAACCATTCCCCCTTGTCCTATCGCTGCAGGCCCTACTAAAAAGTCGGTCCCCATCTTTCTTATAAGCCCCTTTAAATACTGAAAGGCCGCAATAAGGTCTCCTCGGAGCCTTCTCTTCTCCAGGCTGAACAACCCCAATTTGTTCAGTTTTAGAGCAGAATTGGCTTTGTAAAAACAACCTTTGCAGGATGGCCCTGCGAAGCAATATTTGAATATTTAACCATATTAAATAAGTAGTTAGACAGAAGGTATGTTTTTCTGAGCAATTAGACAAAGCAAACGGGTCTTGTACTAGGTTTTGCATATCCAACACATTTGCTCTCATTGAGGTGACTGGTGACTTTAGTTGAGCAGGATTAGACCTGCTACGTAGTGGGCACTAACACCCTTTCCTACCTGCACTGCCCAAAATACTGCTTCCCTGCCTATTCATTACACTAGGCTACATAGCTCTTTATTTCTTTTGCTTCTTATTTTCATTAGAGTGCTGAAATTATTAGTAATAAAAGAATGTTAATATAACTGGGATTTATTATTCTTACTGATTCATTAAGGAAATTATTGCTTGTTTTAAGGATGGGAACTTATTGTCACCCTTCTGAATTATTGAGGAATTCATTCATTTTTCACGTGGATCGTGAAAGTCTATTACGCATGTGTCTCTGAAAGTCAACAGTATTAAACATTAATGCCTAATGGCCTTGTCTTAGAGTGTCCTTGGACCTGCTAAATGTCTCAGCTCCACCAGAATACCCTTGAGATTTCTTTAGTGGAAATTAAATCAGCAGAAACTAGATGAAGGATTTTTTAATGAACCGTCAGTGTTCTCTGAATTCACAAGTTTGGAAAAATATCATCACAAGAAGCCCCCAAAGACTAAAATAATATCAGTAGAGACTAGATAGATGATGGAATATGTTACTAGCATAGAACTCAATCTATTTATTACTTATGACTATGGAAAATGAAAGGGGGAAGAGGAAACCCCCTTCAGTAGGGCTGCTTAAAGACTACTGCTCCGTGTGCTGGCTGGCTGTTGATGCCTCTGAAGCAGGCTCGAGTCTTCAATAACAGCAAAGAGGTGGAAAACATCCCTTTGCTTCCTCAGGCACATTCCCCACACCCTGGGTAACTGAAAAGGGGAAGGACACCTCTGTAGGATAACTGAATTTCCCCCTGCTGTACAGCAATGGGCTGCTGTGAGTGGAGAGTCACCGAAGCTTACCCTGGCCCTGCTGATCTGCCAGCCAGCTGGCAGGGAGCCGCCGGGAGCTTTAGCCCCGGCACAGGACTACTACCGTGTTCTCCCACCAGTACCTCAAAGGAGATGATCGCTAAGAGGCAGGTTATGTCCCTCTAACCGATCCATCCATAGGCTGGTACAAAACCATTGCCCTTTGTTTGAGACTCAAATATTTGGTGCTTGGTGGCTGCGTGTTAGGCATTCAGGATAAAACGGACTTTGAACTGGAACGTGATACCCTCACTTCCTCGTCAGGAAAGCTTCCTTTTTCCTGTGTGCAAAATGGATTTGTAAAGCTGAATGGAGATGCTCGTCTACCTAATGAAACAGCTAACATTACTGAAGAAATAAAATGCTTCTTGATATTAGGAAGGTCAGAGGCTGGTGATAGAGAGTGCGGGCAATGAAGGCTGAGGTTGTTGTTAAATGAAAAGAAAACCAGGTTGTGGCTGATCTCTAACGTTTTGTCTGGTACAGGATGACAGCATGTGCAGTGACAATGAAAAAATACGTGGAAGAGAATGTTTCCCAGAATTCCTATACCACAATAAAATATTTCATGAAGATGCTGAGCAGCGTCAGCGAGACCCTGATTTTCATGTTCATGGGAGTGTCTACAGTGGGGAAAAACCACGAGTGGAACTGGGCCTTCATTTGCTTCACTCTGCTCTTCTGCCTCGTTTGGCGGACACTGAGTAAGTCAGCTTTTGCAGGCAATCTTCTCCGCACCTCTGAGAGAAACGCTTTGGTGCAAAGGTATGTTAGAAAAGTCTGTGCAGACTGGCATAACCGGTTTAATAACGAATTTACTAGGCTTATGTTACTGACAAGTTAATTTCACAAATCTACACACAGAGAAAAAGGGGGAAAAAGCCCCAAACAAATCTGAACGCCTGTCTCTAGGCACAGACTTTATGATTAGGTGAGAATGGAATATTTTAAGCAAAATTAAAATATTATCATAATTATACCTATATAGATGCTTATATCTTAGTTAACTATATGCCCTTGGGTAAGTGGGCTTCATAGTGATTTTATCGCACACTTACTAATTAGGTAATGTACATCACACTTCTGGTGCTATAACACTACATGTCCTGGGTAGGAGTGCCGGAGGCATTGAAAAAGAGGGAAGGTGAAAATTAGATAACTGAACAGGGACTCTGTTTCCTTCCTTATACCACATCTAGGCCAACCACGCTATGCTATTGCTCCTCACAAGTAAACTCTGAAGTTTTAAACTGTTAGAAAAAAGTGCCTGTTTGAAATGACTCCATTTCTACACACAGTATCTCCCCATTCCTGCAAAGGTCTCCCTAATCTGTGAGACTGGGATTCCTCCAGCATGGGCAGAGCAGTTACAAATGATGTCACATGAGCTGTGGGACACAATTTCTTATCTTCTCCTAATATCCAGGATGGGTTGACAGTAACGTTGACAAAGGAGAAGCAGTAAGAAGCCTGGTGGTGCTCTGGAGGTGGTAGCAGTCCTGGCAGACTTCTCGTACAAGCTGCTCTTGTGCCTGTTAGCCAATTTACTGCAACTGTGGAAGCAGAGAGGCAACACGTTGCCATCTTCTCCCTCATCTACTAGTTCCATCCAGCCAAACACTCTAGCTGACATAAGAAAAGAAGGAATGACCTACCGGGTCAGACCGACCCTCTAGTGGTGTCTTCAACAGAGCCTGCAGGAGATGCTAATTAGGAAAGGCTTGCAAGCCTGGCCACTTTCTGAGCTCTGTTCATCTCCTACTTCATCAGCATCTACAGTCACTGTGTTAGGGATGTGAGAGGGTACACTCCTTGCCTACGTTATATAGGGGTCTGGTTTGGACCTGTTACCCATGAATTATGCCATCCTTTTTTGAACCTGAATATTCTGCATCAGGTTAAGTTACAACTGCTGCAGCAGAAAGCAAACACATTTACTCCTGGAGAGGTGATGAATTATGGAACACACCCTACTCAGCCACTGTTACTTGTCACTTAAATTTAGTTAAAAATATGAGTGAATGATGTTTTTGTAATGAAAGATATTTTGGAAGTAGTACACAGGAGAGGGTAAAAAATACAATTATGCAGGCAACCTTATTTCTGACATTTTTTAACTTTTGAGTACCTGAATTGGCCACCTTAATAACATTCTTTTTGAATTTCAGTAGGATTTTTTCAGAGTAATTTATAATTTTTTTAAAAAATGAGAAATCTAAATATTCCATCAGATGGCCTTGGAGGAGATATTCTGAGCACTGAAATTTAGGCTACCTTCACTAACTAAGTTAACAGGTTAGTTCCCCCATGCTCTCATTTATAGTCAAAGGAGGCCCCTCTGGAGCATCCTGTGGGGCAGAAATCTGCGTTGGGCACCCGCCACCACCTCCTCCCGCCTTCAGCCCTTGTCTATATCCCCTTTACATACAGAGCCCAGGCTTGAGCTCAGGGCATTGGCCCTGCATCATCTGCTATGGTATTGAGGAGGAACAAGACCTATCAGGTGATTCATCAGGGCCAGCTGTGCCCTGAAGGGGAAGGCAAAAAAGGGTTGAGAGGAAAAGGCAAGTGGTAGTTGCTGGAGACTGATTGATGAATCAACTGGAGAATATGCTTTGTCTTCTCTACCACTCACAAAGAAGGAAGAAATGGCTGAAGACGTGAAGATCAAGGGCAGCCTTAACTGCAGTGACTGTGATGATGAGACTGTGGATGCTAACATCCCGAGAGGAGTGAGGAAGCTGACAAACAGCAGAATTACAACCCTGGGCTTCAAAGAGCAGATTTTGGCCAGTTGAAGTGTTTGATAATATGGGAAGGGAATTGGCTGGACCTCTGGGCTCAAAATACTGTCTAGCTCGTGGCTAATGGCATCCCTCAGGGCTCAGTACAGGGACCAATATTGTTTTAATGTCTTCATTAATGACCTGGAGGATGGAATGGAGTGCACACTGAGCAAGGTTGTGGCTGACACCGAACTGCAGGGAGCAGTCAATATTCTGGATAGCTTCCATTCAAAGGGACCTGGACAGGCTGGAGAAATGGGCTGACAGAAAGCTCATGAAGTTCAAGAAGAGCACATGCAAGGACTTACATGTGAGTTGGAATAACTCTATGCATCAGTATAGGCTTTGAGTCTAGTAAGCAGCTCTGCAGAAAGGGACCTGGCCTGGTAGACAACAGATTGAACACAAGCCAGAATTATGTCCTTGTGACAAAGAAGGCCAACCGTGTCCTGGGCTACATTAGCAAGCGTGTAGCCAGCAGGTCCAGCAAAATGTTTCTTCCCCTATCTTCAGCAGTGGTATGAGTGTGTGCTGTCTCCAGAATGCTCTCTCCAGTTCTGGGTTCCCTAGTATAGGGAGGACATGGAGGTTCTGGATCAAGTGCAATAGAGGCCACCAACCTGGTCTGAGGCTGGAGCAGTGGATGTACAAGGAGAGTCTGAGAGTGCTGAGGCTATGCAGCCTGGGGAAGATATGGCACAGGAGAGGCCTTATTGCTTCCTACAAGTACCCGATCAGAGGAGAGAGAGAAGATGGAGCCAGACACTTCTCAGAGGTGCACAGCAATAAGACAGGAGGCAACAGACACAAGCTGGAACATGGGAAATTCTAATTAGACAGTAGGAACACATTTCCAACACGAGGGTGATCCAATATTGTAACAGTGGCCCAGCTCTCCATTCTTAAAGGCATTCAAGACTTGACTGGAGCTTTGAGCAACCTGATCCGATTAGCTCTGCTTTGAGTCAGGACTTGGACTAGATGACCTCCAAAGGTCCTTTCCAGCCTACAGTACTCCGAGTCTAATATTTGGGACCAGCTAAGTATTGGCATCGAACATCTGAGATTAAGGTGCTATTTCTTAAATGTCGCAGGTGGCTTATCCCTCGGTCAAAAAGAATACCAGAGCAGGAAGCAGATGTTGGCTTGACCCTCAAAGCCCATACACATTTCAAGACCTTTGACTTTGAAGCCTGGGAGCCCTGGAGGAAGACATTTAACCAGAGGAAAAAGAGGAAAGGGGAAACCTGTGAAGGTTCAAGTACATGCATCTGAACAGCTCTATTATATAGGGATGACACAAGTACTCAACAGTAGAGGTGATATAATTCTTGTGGGTTGACAGCAAAAAGAAAGTAATTAAATATTTTCTTGCTAATCCTGGACCAAGCACGGCCTCTAAGTTTTTAAAGGCTTAAAGGCTTGCTTTTGGAGTCCGTATTGGAATATCCTTCCAATCAAGAGAGAAAAAATGCTCTCCTGATACAAAAGCTATTTTGCTGCCACATGTCTGTCTTTCTCTCAAACACCCAGGGGAGTGCTAGAGCTCTCCAGAGGAAGGCCGAAATATTTTTCACTAAATTTGTTTGCTAAAATGATTACATAATTTTCTCTGAAGCTTGAATAAAGTAAAGAGAATTGGCCTGGGGGTAATATTTCACATACACAGTTTCAGTCTGATGCCTAGCATAGTTATAAGTAGTCAAAAAAGGTCTTGTATAAAGTGGTATCCAGCAACCTACATAACAGGATACTGCTACTGGCCTTACCTATAATAATCCACTGAGTTTATCAGTGACAGCTGTGTAAAATAACACCAGTAATTATCAGCATTTGTCAGCTTTCACTTCAGTAATTTAACAGTTTCCACACAAAACATAGCATACCTGTTTCCTATGGAAGATGAAGAAGATTAAGAGTAAATCAAGCAAATTGCTAAATGTACTCTATAAAGAAAAGCTGCAGTCCTTACACAGCCACAGCCTGCCTGATTAATTTTAACTTTTATTAAAAGCAAAATGAAAACTGAGAAATAAACAGAGCATTAGAGGCACAATAAGCCAGAGGATTAAAAATTAAAATGCTATTACTCTTTGCCTTTCAGTGAACCTGTCCACAGGACTTGTTGGTAAAACACTGTTCAAACACTTTGGGTAGACACTGTGCAGAAAGCAGGAAACATTGCAAGGGAAGGCACAGGAAAAACTCTCATCCAGTGGTTCGTCTTGTCTCCAGAACACTGGAGACAAAGAAGGCCAACCGTGTCCTGGGCTACATTAGCAAGCGTGTAGCCAGCAGGTCCAGCAAAATGTTTCTTCCCCTATCTTCAGCAGTGGTATGAGTGTGTGCTGTCTCCAGAATCTGTCTCCTTCTTTCTTGACACTTCGGTCAAGAACTGTGCAACATAAATATAGAAAGCAAATCTTTTCCTCTAATCTCACTTCTAAACTGCATAAGTGAATTTAAATCCTGAAGCAGTTAGGAACCACGTTTTTTTCTAGGAGATTATTTCACACGAAACAGATTCAGCAGTTGGTCAAAGGAAAGCTACAAGAACCCAAAATTGAAAAGAAAGGTCTGCCAACAGCTGTCTGAGCCGAGATGTTGTTTTGCTTTAAATATTTTCCTTTTCTCCTTGATTAATCATAGTTGTGTTTTTTTCCCTTCCTAGGTGTATTTGCTCTCTTCTACATCAGTAACAAGTTCCGAACATATCCCTTCACCTTCAAAGACCAACTCATTATTTCCTACAGTGGCCTTCGAGGATCCAGCAGCTTCTCTCTTGCATTCTTGCTTCCAGTGAATCTCTTCCCAAGGAAAAAATTGTTCATTACTGCTACTCTTGTAGTTATATATTTCACTATGTTCATCCAAGTAAGTGTATTTCTTAATGGATTGCTTTCATGTAAAAGAGGTGACTGAAAGCTTCATAGTGAAGATAACATTGAATTTACTCTTAAACTAGGACAAGCTATCATATTTTATGGCCAGATTCAGCACTGCGCTGTGTAATCACCCCTTCAGGGCTTTTTTTTTTTTAAAGTATTATTAAATAACTTTTTCAGAAAGTCTGTATTGAAAACCTCTGTCTTCTAAAATATTCAGGGAAAAGGGTACTTTGTGTCCAAAATCTCTTATATTCACTCCACATGTGCTTCCTAATGCTTCCAAATTAAGAAGCATTTTAACTTTACATTTTAGCACAGAATCATTCTCTACTAGTGGTGTATCTCAAACTGAAGAGAAAACAAGATGTCTGTTCTATGAAGGATTTTGAATTTTTTACTTTTATGTTCATTCATCTTGGAGACCAAATGAGAACATTTTTAAATCCTTTGTAAAATAATATTAAAGAAAAATAAAGTGAATAATTCAGATTTGTAAGAATAGGTGTCTACTTCAGATGTTTGGGTTATTCCACTTGGCTTACACTGCCGTACCTGGAAGAACCGGATCTTCTGAAGGTCTTGCATCCCATGTTCTGTATTTTCTCATACCAATATCTCAGATACTCTAGGGTGCCAATGGGGCACTATGCATTTGTTGTTAGGCACTTAGATTCCACCAGAATGTTTCAGAAAAAAACATTTTGTTTCTATTTCCCTTTTAAAAACACTATTCTGTAGCAGTGCAGTAAAGAATTGGGAACAGCTGAAGATGGTTTCTAAGTGAAACCCCCCCCCCCAAAAAAAAATATTTAATTCTGAAAATGTTGAAGTAAGAGGTTTCAAGATTGTAAGAACCTCATAAAGATAATGTTTTCTTTCAAGAGAGTGCTGTTTTGAAGAAGGTTGGCAATGAGTCAGTTACTTCACATAGTTAAAACATGTGGATAAATACAATCTTGTTTAAAAAAACCCTGGTGCATGATTTTTTAAAGTTTTTGAGTTTTAATCCTCTTCTGTAGCTCTCCATAAAAGTAATAGATCATTCTTGCGTCTAAGACACAGCTTTCCTAACTGATTAAAATTAAATTATTTTTTTCCTAAAAGATAATTAACATTTCCTCATTGTTCCAAATATAGGGAATCACAATTGGACCTTTGGTCAGATATCTAGATGTTAAAAAGACCAACAAAAAGGAGTCTATCAACGAAGAAATTCATGTGCGAGTAAGTTTTTTATATCAATAGCTGGTATCCTAAAAAAGAAGAAGAGAAAGGATGTTCCAAAAGAGCTGGACAGAGGGAGGCATTTGGTAGCACTGGCATTCAGCAGATTTGGAGACTGAATGCTTTTAAGAACATTTGGAGGAAACCCTGGGCATAATTTTCTAAAACATGATATCTCATTTATATTCATAGTGACTTTCATATTATAATATCGTACCACAAGTGTCATGGTGTAGCAGGGTCCTTACTTCTTGATACTTGTGACCATGGGAGGACAGAAACATAAAGGTAGCATTTACAAAATGCACTCATCATGCTTCCCAGCTAGATTTGTCAGATATCTTTGTTGCCGTCTTTTGACTGGTTCTAGACACACTGACATCTTAAAAGTCTTTAATCAAGTTTTATCAAATTGAAATGAGTCGAACCATTGGTCTGCAAATTTAGTTTCAAGTTATTCTGAGTAATCATCTTTTTCCTCTCTCAAACATTTGCTTTTGCTCTCAATTTACCATTATATAATATAACAGAAAGCTGCTCAAATGGACTTAACAACACTATACAAAATATACATACATGCTTTCATTTTCAAAATAGGGAATACATTTGAAATTAACAGAAACACTGTGCTTTAAAATTAAGCACGTGTAGAGACATTAGGAAAAGTAGAGCATCTCAATTGATTTGATTTTGATGAGCATTTAATTCTTACTATTTCGTCCTTTACACTTAACCTTGAAAGGAATTTATGTTTAAAAGCACCACTTCTAAAAATATGTATGTAAGAATTCGCCATTTTTCTGTCTGTTTCTATAATGCTAGAAACACACAAAAGATGACTGAAAATCCTGGTAGCTAGCAGTGATGAACTTACCAGTCTCATGACAATTTGCAAAATCCTCAGAGGACTTGTCGGTCAAGGCAAAGGTTAAGGTGTGGGGTACTTGGCCTTGTGCCCCTCTCAGGGAGGTCACACAGGAAGAAGGGAAACTTGGTTGACAGAACCAAGAATTTAGTTTTTGGTCTCAGTAGACAAAGAGGACCAGGCAATTTGGATGCTCAGTATCATCTTCCATTGGACATAGTCCTTTACTGGGGCCTATACGTTGCTGGGTGATGGTGAGATGATAGCAGACTGACAGACTTGTCACCTCCATCAAAGTATTGCCACTGCAGCCAAGCATAGGAACTGCCACAGTGGGATCTTTGACTTGATTTTGAGAGAAATGTAGATGTTTTCAGAATTAACTCACACCCTCCAATTAAAAAATCTCAAAATCCTGTCAACAATTGTGTATTTGTGGTGACATTATTTTCTCATAATGGCCATAAAAATAAAATTTTTCCATGTTTGTTTCTCTAGTTGATGGACCACTTGAAGGCTGGTATTGAAGATATATGTGGACATTGGAGTCATTATCAGCTGAGAGATAAGTAAGCATCTCTTATTGCAGCCTACTATAATAAAATAACCTATCACGTAAAATACAATATGTAAATAGAATAGGAAATTAATCTTGTGCCCCATAAAGCTAAAATAGCATGAAAATATTGGGGATGTGTGCAATATCTCTTTTTAAAAAGTGAACTCCTGAGTACCCGTTATCTCTTGGGAGTGCGGTGCTCGTATATTGCCTGCTAAATTGCCTTCTACGCAAACAAGCAGAAAATAAGCCTTCTGAAACAAAAACATAGCATGGGAACCCATGCTGCAGATATCAGTCTGTGCACATAGCTTCGGCATAAATCTTAGATCCATGGCAGTGCTCCTTTAGGTCTGGATTTAGAACAGAAGCTACGTAAGGTGTCAGTGCTTCACTGACTTTTGCTGTAAGCCTCCACAGCAAATATGATCCCTTGTTGGTGAGTACAGATTCAATAATAATTAGTCACCTGTCCTTACAGGTCTTTGCATTCAGTAATATTTAAAATAAGAATACCAAAGGGAACGGTTGAATTTAAATATCCAGTAGCATAAGCAGGGATTTTCAAGCTAGTCTTCACTCAGAAATGCAGGACCTGCATTGTGTCTTCTATAAGCAGGAGGATGTGGTTTTGTGAAGCTTTGTGGCTCTTCCAGGCACTGCCCAAAAGAGATGGACCTGCTATTCTGAGCTGCCGTTCCCTTTACCTTTTCCCTAAGGGAGCCCTGTGATCATGTTGGCCACCACCGCAGCATGTAAAGGGAAGAGTGGGGAGAGACTAATCTTCCTTTCCCACAAACATCTTATTATGGTGCTGGGGGCTAAAAGTTATCCCTAGTTATCCTAGCTATGCCGAGACTTCTGTGCTGGAGTCCTCTGTCTCACCTTTCAGCACTGGACCCCAGCAATCCACCCAGGAGGGTCTGTCAGCAACTCCTTTCATGACTGGGTTTGTACCTATGGAAATCAGGAATTAAGACTGGGAAGCAGGCACCTGGTTTGCATCCCGTTCTTGTCACAACGAGGAGTAATGACGCAATGTGCGAGGGCACATACCAGGACCCCGAAAATGTCCTCTTGGCTCTCACAGTACAGAGATAGCTTTAAGATATCCGCTGGGACCAGACCGCTGTCTGTGCAGTCAATAAGCTAAACAAATCCCTGTTGGAGCAGTAATTCCATTGAAACAGCTGCATGTACCCATATCTGTGAGAAAATGTTATCCCCTTATCTCACATCTATCCAACAGCTATGAAAAGAGAATTTTGTCCAAGCTAGCCATAAATGTAGTGTTTCAGTTCAGGAGCAGACTGAAAAAACACACTGTATGTGAAGACATTTAATGTAAAAAGATTGTATTAAAAGGTATTCCCTAGAGTTTTCTATGCAACTTTAAAGACGTTTCGCATATGTGTATCAGAATTAATTACCTAAGTGGTGACACTCCAGGAGGCTTTCTGTTACATAGAAAAACACAAAGAGCTCTAATCCCAGTGGAAACATTTGTGTACCTATCTCTGCTATTAATGTATAAAAAGTAGCCTTCCTTAAGAAAAAATGTACAAACTCTGTAGTGCTTTTCCTAGCATTGTGGAACACATTACCTTGCTGCGGTAAACTATTCCTTTGAAAGAAACGTGTATGAAGATCTGCTGTTGTTCTGCTAAACGTCTGCCTGAAAGCACATACCTGTTCCAAAGTGTACACACACACATTCACATTCAAATTATGCCACACATTAGCGATATTTTACAATCCGCAGCATGCGAGCTATGCAGCACATAGTATTTTGTGGTCCATTCAATTTCCCTGTTATTCAGAATACAAAGAAATGTATTTTCTCTGCCCTAATTGTCAGGATTCAAAATTATCAGCAACATAATAGGCCCAAACTACTGTAACTGCTGGGCCATTTAGAGCCTCATTGGTGGCTGGCTGAATAGGCCAGGATTACCGTAAGAGCAGCTGCTGCTGTTATGCCATACTAGACTACAACATTTGTACAAAAGCGTGGAGACTGGCCATATTGTTTTCTGACAAATGTGGTGGTGTTATATGCAAACACACACACAGCCCTCTTTTTCGCTCTGATTGCAGCTTGTTTCTTTCTTTTGTCTGGTGGGCTTTGCAATCTCTGTGGACCAGTAGACCATGCCAAATGTCCTCCTAAAGGTCTCCGCTCACTAGGCCTTCAGGAGTCCACAGATGCCTCCAATTTGGATTCAGTTTCTATCACTGAATTATATATGTGTGCATTTGAATGAAGATCAGCTTGTACCACAGAAATAAAAACACATTTCCTTTTTTACACTTTGATTTTAATATCTCTTTTGCAGATTTAAGAAGTTTGACAATAAGTATTTGAAGAAAATCTTAATTCGGGAACACCAGCCCAAATCCAGCATTGTGTCATTGTACAAAAAGATGGAGATAAAACTGGCCATTGAGATGGCTGAGAGTGGCATGAAAATTTCAAAATCATCCACAGCTTCTTTACAGTGAGTACTGACCTCCTGACCCTTTGCAGAGTAGGGACAGAAAGGAAGGGGACAAAAATGAGGAAATACCCAAGGGATTTTATGACTTCAATAGAAATGTAAGAAAAAAAAAAGACAGTTATGAAAAGAGAAGTCACTGTTTTGTGCTGGCAATTTGGTGCTCACCATATTTGCACTTCGGCTCTTTGTTCACAGAGTGAAAATTAAAACCAGGGACATTTTCTGTTTCTCTTCAATGATGGGCAGTTCTGAAAAAGAATCATGGGTCAGGCCCAGCAGCCACTCTGGCTGCTTTAAATCACAGCAGTGGTTCAAGGTGGCCGCACTCGTCAGTTAGCTGGCCAGTGGGTTTTGCTCATCACTGCTAGGTGCTGGGAGACCTGCAGGAGAGCTTAAAGCATAGGTCCTGACTCCATTATTCCAATCACAACCATTCTGTGATTCTATGATTCTATGAAACAGTAATGCAACTTGGCATCAGGCAGACCAGGGGAGAAAACTGGTGGGATCTCCAGAGCCATCACTGAGGGAACTACGCTTTAGGAGAGAAGTCTGTACAAATATTCACTCCTGCATACTGTAACTGCTCTGCATGTATTTATCCTCACCCTGCAACCCACTGTCCAGAGTGTGGGTATTGCTAATGGCACTTGCCCCCACAAACTCTTTCCTGGGCTACTGCTGGCCACTGTGGCTGCTGCTGCCTGCTCTCTCCTGCTGCATCCTTCAACCCCCATTTTGCAGCAGCCTCTGGCAGGGCCCAGCATATTTTCTTTTTTGAATGATCATCTCAACCCATACCAGAAAGTCCAAATACTAACTGGACGTTAGACTAAAATCTCTCTTGAAACTTCGGCTTAATCATGTCAAGATTCATCTGCTTTCTTGAAACTGATGTCAGCATGCAGCGTAAGAACCTTTTCTTCCCAAATCACTCTCTGCCGAACGGATGATATTAAAAAAGTTTGCGTGTCTGTCAGGCTCCTTTCTGTCTGCTCTATTCCTTTAACTGTTCTGAGCCAAGAGAAAATGTGCAAGGTTGGTAGACAATCTATGGCAATCAAACCACATTCCTCTTCTTTTCTTGAGGGAAGGAGAAAATAAGAAAAATTGCTTCAGCGTAGTTCAGAAATTCTCTCCTGAGCTGAGAATTTAGACTGAAAAATATTCTATAATAAACAGCTGATATGATGGACTAATTTTTGCCAGCTCTACTCTGGCTGTAATTGAATTTTACTGTGCATCAACCTCTGACGCAGGTTCTCTTACTGAGACAGCCTTTTTAAAAATGAAGTGTTAACTTCAGAAAACAAAGTGCAGCCTGTGGCTCAGAAACATTCTGGTTCTTGGAGGCTGTGAGAGTGTTCTAGGAAAATATTTGTTTTCCCAGTGTTGAGCACTGGAGGAGACAGGATAGTGAGCTAGTTGTTGGATCTTTGGCCTGAGCCACTGCAGCAGTTCTTATATCTCCATTCTCCTGAACAATTAAGTGAACCTGCTTAAGACTAGAAGGTTTCTAAACGTATTTGTAAATTGTTTGATTGTTATCGTTGAGATAGCTTGTACCTAAAGACCCTGTCTTCAGTGAGGATACAAAAATCTAGCCATGAGCAAGTGGAGATTTAAAATCAAATTCCAATGTATGGCATGTAAAGCAATATTTGCAGTGCCACAGTAGTGAGAAAACTCTCTCGCTAGCACTTCTGATCCGTTCTGCAGCCTTTAGGCACACGAGGGGAAATGCTCTACAATAATCAAAGCAGATCTCCATCGCTGTGAATTAGCATTATTCTCAGAAATTGCATTCATGCTGGTGTGATTCCTGCAGGCGGAGTGGGTGTCCGGTATGCAGTATTTCCCGTGCAGACTGGAGAAATTTGCCCATGGACTGTGCAACAAAGAATCCACATTTGAATGAAAACAGAGCATTTTGTTATGATGTTTTGGAGAATATAAACCTTAGAAATAAGGGTGGAAATGGCAAAAGCAGAGCCAAGCAGATATTATCAAAACTGTGTTTGTATGGTTGTTTTTTGGAGGAAGTATGCCCATTAGAGAGAGACGGGTTGATGCTGAGCTTACTTAACGTTGGCTTCATATTACTGCAATACTGACTTTGGTAAGAGTAAATCTTAGAATGTATCAATACAATACAGATCAGAATCAAGTGCCATGTTGTCATTTGTGGTGGAGCAGTTGTGCTAGAGCTGTGCCTGATGAATGTTACTTCCTTCACAGGACTAGTGAAGATTGGTGGACAGTTCATAAAGTTCAAAATTCTAGATATTATATATAAAAAATAATCTTACAAGGTTTGTGGAAGGCATTTTATTTCCTCCATGTATCAACTATCTCCATATCTAAAGAAGAAAGAGATACTGGAGACACTGTCATGGTACTCATTACAGAGAGACAGTCAGTTTTCATGGCATACTAACATTTCAGTATTTTCTTTACAAATATATCTCCCGTGCTGTGTTTTGTTGTAACATGCCGGAAGTTTCCATAAGAACAAAGAAATAGTTTCAGTAAGGATTGCTTTATGGGTTTGGTAACATACCAAACTTGTTTGGGTTTTTTTGAAAGTTCTTTTTTAATGTATTGTATATTGCAAAATGTAATAGCAATCTGTTCCTTATTACCATACCTGTGCATTGTTATCAGTTGGGTAGGTTAATATCTAATCCCATATAAAGAATACACATTTTTTATTTGTGCTCCAGAACAATACAGACTATCTTCATGCTGTTTGTTCTCTTGCTATCCCAGCTCAGATGAAACTCGGGGAATTTTATTTATTCTATTTAAGTCACTTTAAGAGCAAAATGATAAGCCTTTAAATTACTTAGGACTGGCCACTTCTGTCCTGGCATATGGAGAGGGTCAGGTATGTGATTGGAAAAGTAAAGAGATGATCTGATATCTTCCCAGTGGAGTTCTGCTTTCCCCTATTTAGCTGCTTTCCCCTATTTCTTCCCAACAGTAAGGTATAAAGATCCTGTGGAGACATTCAGTGAAGTGTGGACCAGAGAGACAGTTATTCCCTATGATGTCAAAGCTGCTTGCATCAATTATGTCAGTTTGATTTGCATTACACAAATGAGCCAAGCCTGCATTTTATAGGCTGCTACTCGCTGGCAGGCTAGATTGCCATTAATCCCCAGGGGCTGTGCTTGTGTTTGCTTTCCCGGGTGTACCTAGAGTCTCTCTCTGTTGTCCAAAGGGACAGCAGCTAGGGCCTGCTGACAGCAAAAGGACTGGTTTCCTTGCTGTGGAAAGTAGCATACATGGGCTGTCCCACAGCCTGGGACATGGCCAGACCCAGTATGGAATAAAGGTGCATTACACCTGAGCCTGGAAACTTGGTGGCATCCCTGCATCCTCTCAGTGTTATCCCTGAGAGCTGAAAGCAAGTGAAAATCAACCAACCAACCAACCAACCAACGAAAGAACATATCCAGCTGGCCTGGAATTGGGTGGTGGTGATGGTCTTTTTTCCCTGCTGGTAAATACCTAGCTTTGTTGTTGTTGCTGTTGTTGAGAATTGATGAATGTCAATTAAACATTTGTTGGGAAGGATTTATCAGGGCCAGGATAAGATTTCTGATCAAATCCAGAATGGGAGTCCTTTTCTGTCACTCTGGCTTGCCAAGAGTTAACAGGTAGACTCATGGGTCTCTCATGCCTCAGTGAGATCCTTAACCTATCGGTTACCCCAGCCCAACCTCTAACACTACACCTCAACCTATTGTCAATTTCTCTCTTTCATTTTACTTCATGAAAAATTTGGCAGGTCTCAGTTTTGGTCTGATGTAGAATGAAAACACATACTGAAACCTTGAAATATATCAGGAATTAATTCTTATATTCCAGGGACTTTGGACAGGTCCAGGCCACCAGTGCTTCCTGTCTACTTGATGGTAAGAGGCAGTAGAATGTAGAATCCAGGCAGCTCATGATGGGCCTCCAAGTTTTCAAGATGTTCACGTTAGATTATAGCACAAAACAGTGGTAATCTTGTTAAACTAGCTGTAATTGCAAATTCCGACCTTTTTCCTACGTTTACAACATAATCTCAGTTTAGCTTGAATCCACCTTCCTTTGCCGTTAAAAGTTTTTAATTTATTTTAGAGGGAGTACAAAATAAATGCACACACATCTTTGGCAATACTGTACATTGATCATAATCCATTCTTTAATTGCACAATTTACAGACAACACTTTAGGGACATCACTTAGCTGAGAACAAAGATTTGCAAGTACATGTTTTTAAAAAAGAGGCAAGAAAGCAAAATGGAGAAAGGAAAAAAACAGAAACAACAAGAGGAACTCAGACTTATTCACCCTGGATGATCACTATCTATTTCCCTTTCTTTCCTTGGGAATTCAGCCGAATGCTAACTCTCACACAGATTGACCGATTTAGCAAAACGAGTTCACGTTTCACAGCAGCACTCCTCCATTGTTTTGCTAGTGAAAAAGCCAGGCAGCTACAAGTGACTGTGGGCTTCTTGTGACAGTTTGTTAAAAATATGAAGATGACTATCTTTTAGGTAGTTCTTTCATTTTAAATGCAGAAACAGGCTCAGTAGCAAGGAAACCTTACCCATTCTCCTTACCACAGGGCAGGTCTCTCGGACTTCTTAATTGGCATGTGCTTTAGTTGTTAAGGATTTGCTGCACTTTCTCAAAGGGGTTAAAAGCAGTAGGACCACAAGGCCCAGACTGCTAGACCATGCTGAAGAATGTGTTCAGACAGAGGAGGAATCTTGCAGTGCCTTCTGAACGTACAGCTGGTTGTTGCCCAGTCTAATCCTTAAATACCAACTTCCTTATGAAGCTTTGAGAAAGAAGATTTTCTGCTGCCAGCTGTATGAGGGCTTAGGGCCCATTCTGACTATCCAGTATATTGACAAAACCTGGGAAAAAGCAAAATCTGACATTTTTTATTCATCTTTGGATGATTTTGTGGTGCCATTGGTCGCTGAAAGGCTCTTCATAGCCTTCTGTTCTAGCACTAAAAATAGATCATGCATCATTTCATGGGAATAGTATTTAATGAACTCATTAATATCATATTTAAACTTCTCTTTTATTTACAGGAGTGGTAGAAATCGGCGTGTGCACAGGCTCTCCCCTGCAGAGGTGGAGTCCATGAGAGATGTCCTGGCACATAATCTATATCAAGTGCGACAAAGGGTGCGTAAGCGACCTGCTATCGCACACTATTTGCACACTGAAAGCTCTTGTTTGCCCTCTCTATATCATAGCCAAGGTGGCTGGTAGCACCAGGACCAGCCCTGGGATCATGCTGGTGGGAGACGTGGGCCCGGAGCCCGCAACCGTTCTGACCGGGAGCCGCACGGGGAAGGGAAGGAGGGGAAGGAGCCCTGGCTCGGGGCTCGCTTCTGGGTGGAAAAAGGAAAGCAGGTTTTTTCCATCAGCTTTTCACCCTGACGGCAGCGCGAAAAGCCAGGAAAATCTGTGACTGAGCTGTAGAGGTCAGGCTTCCCTCGCCGTACAGCTACCTGTGACTCAGAAACCGCCTTCCCGAGGCTGCCAAACATCCCCGGGGGAGTCTGAGGTCCCAGAGCATCTGGTGTGAGGTCCCAGGTCCTCTCCCTGGGGGCACGGACAGCCTGCGCGGTGGAGGCTGGCTGGCTGGACGGCCAGCTACCCGGCACCCGGGGACGGATGCAGGGCTTCGTGGGTGGCAGCAGGCTGGCAGGTCACCAGCAGCAGTGAAATTCCCCTGTGGAGGTGGGTGGACCAGCGATGGTAAACATTGCATAGCCCAAAGTCAGCTGAGAGTCAGGCTGGTAAATCCTCGGTCTGTGTGGGAGCAACAGGTTACCCTCGCCACAGGAGGAGAAAGGAAAAATAAAAAATTCCACTTCCTCTGGAGCTTCACTTTACACGTTTGGGTTTTTTTTCCCCATAAAATGGGGGTGATATAATACCTCGGCAGGGATTTGTTTTGCTGAAATTTGTACTGATTCTGATGCAGCCCAGTGTATAATATCTACTTAATCCAATCTTGGGCCTAGAATACGACGGAGTGCTCTCCTACAGCAATGAGTGGTAGAGGATATATTACAGTAACCTTGAAATTACGCAGATAAATGGGGTTAACTCGTGTAACACATTTACTAGAAAGTGCTAGGCCCTGCTCATTGAAATGTGTCATTACTAATATGATATTCATTCCTAATATTGTTTGATTTTCCATGGCCAATTATCCTTATGATATTAATTTCTTATCTTACCAGCAACAATTTGCATATATGGCTGCCTCTTAGATTACTGAAATGAACTTTCTCTCTTCAAAATCAATTACAGTAATGACTATTTGCGCCAGTCACTTCCTATGTGGTATTGAGAACATTTTGGAAATGAAAGATCAGAAGTAAAATAATGCCACTTCTAATACTTCACTTTCAACTCTGAAGGCCTGGAAATGCTCTGGCTTACCAGACCAGCTTTACAAGGACCCTTGCAAGTGAGACTGAGATCAGATTCTGCTTTTTAAGAGGGTTTATAAACTTAAGTGAATATTTCTCTTTAAGGCAGATAATTATTTCCCTTATTTCACAAGATGTAAGCAATAAATTAAAAAGCTTGTCCTAAAAGATGCTCAGTTTTAAGGTAATGTTAAGGTGTAGTTTGTCCAAGTATGGAAAGGAAACTCAGCTGTGCACCTCATTCTGGAGATGTGCTCTTCTTAACATAATCTTTTGCTCCGGGGCACATCTGCAACTTGCTCCTGGCTCAGTAATATTACTGCCAAGGCCCAGTGGTGGGTTAACCAGCTATCTCTCTCTTGGGACCTGCCTCAGATCTGTAGCTCCCAACTGTGTGATCAGAAGAGGGCTGACAAAGGGAGGGCAAGACCCGAGATGTTAACAACCTTGTGTCGGTGGGTATATTTTTATGGTACACTTCGAGCAGGCATGAGTCTAACAAAAATGGCATCAAAATGTAGCCCTTGAGCTCCGAGACTTACAGCTGTGTTCGCATTTCCTCCCGTCTTGCTCTGCAGGAGTGAGGCTAGTGCGAGGCTGCATTTTTCCACGTGATACCAAAGGGAGCTGCGGTGAGCCGGTGGCCGGGCCGGGGCAGGTGTCCCCTTGGCTCTGTGATCAACCAGACTGCACAAGGTTAGTAACATTGCAAGTGCAAAGAGAATCAGCTGGGTGCATTTTCTGTTTCAGGCACCAGCATACAACCGACACAACTTGCCTACCAACACAAATGAGAAACAAGCCCAAGAAATCCTCGTCCGTCGGCAGCACAGCCTGAGACAGAGTTGCAGGAAGGGAAACAGCTTGCCTTGGGGTGGACCGGTACCTGTTGTGTAAACTACTATTCATGTAAAAAATGGCTCTGCTTCTCTGTAAATAAGGAAAGAGACACCCATTTTTATATGCTTTTTGCAATAATTAAAATGGATACTTTCCCCAACATCCTCATGCAGCAGCTAAGAAGAGTGAGCTTCACTTAGCATGTAGACAGCAACATTTGTGTGTCCTACCTCTGTACTTTGGTCAGAAATCAGCTACTATGGCTGTAAGTAGTAAAATAATGTAACTTGCATTGGTTTGGCATGTGCAAAACACAGTATAATCACAGCTGTGTGAATTTGTGGATTCACAAAAGGCCTGATGCAAAGCCCTTGACACCTTGCACTGACAGTTTGGGCTGTCAATCAGTAAGAGTAAGATTTGTCTGACCAAATGTAGGCATTGGATAGCATAGACTGTTAGAGCTGAGATAATCAGAGTTAAGGAAGAGAAATAAGTTCTTGCTGGGTATATTAATTTTATTTAAAGTTGTCACCTGAAATCGGAAAGGTGAATCTTAGAAGAACATATTTCTTTCCACTGACTGTAGAAAAAACCTAAGGCTATTATATCAGACACAGACTTTTTCATTGAAGCTGATGTTGAGCTCAACCTACCCAAGCCAAGCATCGATCTTATTCACACCTCTCTAAATTTGGCTGTAAACGTGCAGAGGCACAGCAGAAAAAGCATATAACCATCCCTTTTTACCATCCCACCAAATAAGTACAAATTGCGGAGGCAATCACGGGCACTGAACACATTTCTGTCTCCATACACAGGCTAGCACCACGAGCATACGCTACCTCTCTTTGCCTCAGGGCCCCAGCCAGCCCACTAGACGAAAAGCCAGGCGTGTTGCTTTTACAGGTAATGGAAGTGCTTTACTCTCTATCCTACTCCAGCAGTGAAAGAAACTTGGCCAGTTGCTCGGTGGATTTAACAGTACTAAATGAATACTCCCATGGAAGTCTCTGGCCTCTTTAAATGAGCTACACCCTTCTCTCTTATCTTTTTTATCTATGTTGTTTATATGGTCATTACTGCTGCAGTTTCTATCTCGTTCCAGCACTGCCTGGTTTCTCTTTTTCCCTCTTACACAAATATTCCTGTGATTTCTGCAACTTGGCCTGGCTGTGAGGGTATCTGTGTAAGCCTGAGAAAGCAAATTATCTGTTCCCTGCAGCCCCACAGACACAATTGCATGCAAAATTGTTAGGAGTTGCTGAACCCGTAGCCCAGTCGAGGTGAGGCTGCTGCAGCTCCGTGCCCCCAGGTCCCATCAGTAGCGAGGCAGAGCAGGTATTCCCAACAGACATCCCCCCACCGTTAATTCAATGTACACGTACACACGGCAGGACACACAGAGCAGCACAGGCAGGGCACAGCGCTTACACAAACACAAACAGCACCAACCACCTCATCCTGGTCCCCTCTCTGCCTGATCAGGACGATAGCCGTTAGTGGACAATTATATATACATATCTGCTATCTGAATCCCCCAGTAGCTGGCCTTAGACAAACACTCTGCCCAGTAGCTGGCCCTGTCTCCCCAGTCGGTGGCACTTGGGCATGTGAGCCCCTGGGGACACAGCCCCATGGTAGCTGCTGGTACTCAGAACGACTCACATGCACACACACACATGTACAGATGCTCTTCCACCCCAACCCATGCACTGTAGATCCCTCCAGTAGATGACCTTGGACACCCAGTCTTCCCCATAGTGGGCTCCTGGATCCCCTGGTCTCCCCTTGCCTCACACACATGTGCAAACAGGTCTTTCTGGTACCTGCTCTGGATTATGGCCTTACCAGTAGCCAGCCACAGACCCCATGGTCTCTTCAGTCACTGATCTGGACCTCCTGCCCCCTCCAGTAGTCAACTCACAGACCTTTTGCTCTCCCCAATGTCTGTCCCAGACTTAGGGTTGCTCCAACAGTTGGTTCCCAAGCCTCGTATCCTATTCGATGGCTACCCTGGCTTGGCGATTGCTGGTGATTTCGCATTGACATATGCACCCACACAATATGCATGCACCCCAGTCTCTCCAGCTGCTGGCACTCAGACCTCCACACACACAGGTACACAGTATAGGGAACTGCTCACCCAGGAAAACAGTCAGAAGTGGAGTTTAATGAGAAGGCAAGACAGACTGCGCTGCACAGGGCATTGCCAGACACATGTACTGATCAGCTCCTGTTTACATGCAAGCAGCCCTTTTAATCCCCTTTTTTCTCTATTTTCCTGCACTTGTTCCTCCCCAAACTACCCTGATTCCTTCCTTTCCCTGCCTTTGGTTCTTGCCCTAAACATCCTATCATAAGTCCTGTATGATCCCAAAATGCTCTCCCCAGACATCCCAATAATGAGCCCCGTACCTTGCCACACCTCACTCTATGAGGTGCCCTGAGGAGAGCCTCTCCCTTGGCTCATCATGGTGGGTCTCACCCTGCCCATGGAGCTGATCACCCCTGTGATGGATCAGGGCAGGGGCTCAGGCTCATTCCTCTGACTGGGATACTGGGGGCTCCCCTGCCAGCCCTTGTGCCTTGGGGCTCCTCTATGTTTGTGGAGATGAGCCTCTAATCACATAATCTGACAAAAAATCCTGGCAGAATCTGTCCCCAAGCAGCTAGTCTCTTCTCCCCTCTTCCCAGCTTGCTCTCTATGAACGTTTCTGTAGTAATACTGGTATTACTGCATAAAGTTATCAGCCAGTCTCAGGTTATCAAATGTACACGGTAAAATGCAGACCCATCCTCACTTACACTCTAAGTAAGGAGACAGAGGTTAGGGATGGAGCAACACTGAATCATTGTGTCCATCTGTAATCTCCCTGACTCCTTTCTGTGTTTATTTATGTGAACCTGAAATGCATTTGGGTTCCTTAGAAAAATTCCTTTTAATTTCTGGCAAAATTAGCCATAGTGATTGAAACTGTATTTTTAATCTTCATCTTTGTATCAAAAACTTGGACAACAAAGTTTGTTTCCTGCAGGTGCAAGATTATTTTCTTTCTTCCCTTTCTGTTTTACTCTGTAAGAGATGAAAGCAAAAGAGATCTGTGTAGGCAAACCATCCCCTTGGGGCCGGGCACTCACACGTGATGGCAGCAGAACAGAAACCCATAGGATCTATTCAAAGGGGAAAATCAAAGTTACTTAAGGGGATTTTTTTTTCATACAGATGATTCTTTTCTGTTCTGTTTGTCAGAATGTCATGGTGGGGGATATGTGTCTTTCTAAAAGACTCAAACTGTTCTACACAGCAGCCTCACACCTAAAAGCATTTCAGATACTTTCAAGGGACCAAGTCCTGGTATAGCAGACAGGCACATTATTTCAGTGGGGAGAAGAGTAAATCCTGAGGCAGTGAATGCAGGTACATTTCTACTAATAGCTAGGCCTGAATTTGAGCCCTGCCTTGTAATCCATCCAAATAACTAGACTTCTTGGTCCAGCTTCTGGCTCCATCTTAGGTCCATTGCGTAGCTATTCACACCACTTTAAATGTCTGCAGTAGGAGGAAGACACCCTAAACTCCTCTCATAAACTGTGTTAGGATGTGATGAATTGCACTTAGGAACTGGCAAGAGAAATACTCAGTATGTAGGAAATTAGAATGACAACCTCATATATGCACATATGCATTTACAGAGATAAATGCCACCTCTTCTGTCTATGCCTGGAAGCCCTCCTGGAATAAGCATCCTCCAGCAAGCTTGGTTTAGGTCTTATATATAGCATGTGCAGAAAGTTTAGTAACTAAAAGGTCAGAAATCACCACAAAGAGATCCTTAAATCACCTATCAGCTCTTTCCGCCATTCATACAAATGCATGATTTCTTTGACAGTATATATCATTCATACTTTGTAGCAGTGATGCCCCCAAAGGGCTAAGTAGAAGCCCTTCAAATCTGAGAACACCTATCTTATTTTATTGTTCATGGTGTGGTATGCCCACGTGGCCTAACAGAAGCAGGTTCTGCTCTTAAAGAAATCTGTGTCCCTGTTCAGTGGAGGTAAGTGCTGGTGCATGCGCTCTTACTTTGTACCAACTGTGGAGTAAACATTAACTTAAAATAATTTCATAGTTATTCAGCTGCAATAACTTGATAAATTTTGACTGTGTGACTATACCCAGTACATGTCTGCTTTAACTGCAGCAGGATATAGTCTACTTTTACTGTTCATGGACCTTTGTGTTTATCTGCCAAAACCATCTGACTTGTTATGAGCTGTTTCTTAAATTAACTAATTTGCTAGTGCATAGTCAGACTACAAGTGGCTTTAAGAAATGTAAAAAAGTATATTCTGTAAACTCAACATAATGAAAGAGCCAGTTATTGGCCTATTGCAGGCAAATTTTTATTGTGTACTTGTGGCAAAGAAACCTGGTAGAAGCAGGTCTGACACACCCAATGTAATCAAAGCGCCCTAGAGTCAAACTCCTGGTTTCAGGTGAAACTGTTTTCTTCCCAGTTGTTAACCACAGGTGACTAGTAAACTTGACTTTTGATGGCACTAAAGTCGTCTTCTTGGTCAATTTCTGTCTTATGCTATGGGTTTCACAATGCTTTTCAGCCATGGTACTGGGTCTACTTGTGAAATTCGTAGAAAATTGAAAGCTACATAATGGAGCACTCTTGCCCTGTGAAGGCATTGAGCAGCTCTGTGAGGCACTAAAAGATAGCTGAATGTGCTTATTTGCTGGGGTTTCAGGGTAGAGGCAAGATCAATAAAATCTTTTCAACATCAGCTTTGGGATGAAAATAAAAATTTAAGATTATTTTTAGTTCTTGACTGCTCTCTTATTCTATAGCAATTATTTAAAATGCTTCAGTTCCAGGGTTTAAAACCGCAATGCTGTATTGTATTGAATACCCTTTAACTGTCCTTGCCAATACCATGGTGTTTCTCTTTCCTCTTCATCAAAATATGAATTCTTTATCTATTTTCCTTCAGAGCGCCACGGAAGTGTCTCTGATGCTGCCATCCCGGTAATGTTCAGACCCCAGCCCCGACTACGTCCACTCGAAGCAAAGCACCGCCAGGAAGAGCTGATTCCAATGGCACGCTTGGATAGATGCGCGGGCCCATCCAATCTGTCAGGTCGAAGAGGAAATTCAATCAGCCAGCATCGTTTCACCAGAGCAGACAATCTAGCTCTAATGCCAAAGTCTCGATTCACTGTGGGAGAAGTAGAGGGGTATGAGTCAGAAGAAGAGACAGAAACGATGGCACCAGCCAAGCCATTAGACATATGAGGAGCAGAGAAGAGCAATGTTTGCATCTCTAGGGCCCTTTGTGCACTGCTCCAGAGAAAATAACAAAGCTCTTATATGAACCAAACCACAATTTTCCTTTTGGGACCAGTGCACTTGTTCTCGTATCACTTTCAAGCACTGTGTCAAGGTACTTACTGGCTCAAGTTCTTGTATGTTTATATCAAGCTTTCTTTCCAACAAAACACTGCAGGGAAGAGGGGAACATGATCTTTGTAGAGGTTTGGACATGGATTTAAATGACAATAGTTGGGCACATGCAATGATATGGGTGGAAGCTGATATTGCCTTCCTCTCTTCTGTACTAAGGCCTAAATCCGGAAGAAAGAAACACCAAAGGACATGCTCGACACATGAGTGCCCAGATTGCAACCAACTGTTTAGAGCTTTTGACCTCAGAGCAGTTGAGATATTCCAGGAAAGAGTTAAAAAAAGAAAGGCATTTTTAGGGCACCTAAATGTCACTGAGGATGCCTAAAGGGGTACTTAAGTCAAAAGGATTCTTTAGTGGACAGCACTTGGGAATCTCTTGGCATCTCAGGTTTTGGCTCTGCAAAAGTGCCTAAAGTCAGTTGCTGTGATGGTCTGTAACTCCTGCTACTTCAACTGATTTCAGCATGTAGGCACCTATCACCCACCTACAGTTGTTTTGGATGAATAAAGGAGGCATCTTGGTACGTACAAATCCAGAGAGGACTCTTCAGGCAGGGGTGCTGTCAGGATGCCTTTTATTTGCAAACATGGGACGGCAAGAATGTACAAAATATTCTTGTGGTTCAGCAAGAGGGAGGCTTCATTGTAGAGCATCTCCGTTCCCCACTCCCACCTTGCCAGACGGTGCCCAAACCACTCTTCACACTGAAGCTGGACCAGCACTGCAGATAGGGAGCAAGAAACTGGGACAAAAGGTAAAGGGAGCTTAACTTTGTAGCCTGCTGGCTAGCATGAAAGAGGGGCCCTGTGTTTTGCTCCCAGTTTTTTATAGGGTGTCTGCCTATATGTTGTACAGAGAAGCATTTGCTAAAAAAAAGGCAGAAATAACCAGGGGGACATGCCCTGGAGCCTGTGACCTCCCAGCCTTCCTACTGAGCTCCCTTCCAGCTGGCTCTTGCACCTGTGCCCCAGTCTCAACGGTGGGTCTCCCTAGTGGTAGGGGAAGCAAAAGGCTATGGACTTGAGTCATTTTGGATAAAGTCTAAAATCCCAGATACCTAGTTGCTCCGATGGAGCTCTTTGCTGCAAAATGGAAGCAGCATTGCCACTGTCATCTGTGTCTTGAAACTGTAGGTGAGCTGATTTTATCCAAAGGGATGTTTTGAGTCCAAAAGTCCATAAACCCACCCTTATAGCTGCACTAAACTCAAATCTACAGCTGAGAAATGCACCAAGTTCAGTCATGCTTTCTTCAAGTTTCCTTCTCTTTCCTCCACTCAGAGCTTGCTTAGCTGCCCAACTCAAGGTCTGTAAATGCTACTGTAAGAGTCAGAGAGGTAAGAATTAGAGATAGCAGTGCCACCTTTATGTTCCTCTGTTTTATATTACTGTTAAGCGCTTCTATGTCCTTGTCCAGAAAAAACTTTTAAGTGTAAGTTATGACTTCACATTTCTTACAATGGATTTCTGATTCAGGACAAGTAGCATATAAACTAACAATACCCAAGTTTATATGGTGAAAAGCACCACCAGAGGAAAAAAATAAAAGCCCTTTTTCCCCTTTTCTCATGTTTGCAGCTTCTATTTTTAGCAGGTCATAATGAATCGTGTACTTTTTGAAACTTAAGTTCTGTTTGCATTTCCTCATTGTGCCAGAGAAATTATACAACTTCCTTTTATGAAAGCAGTGGCAAGTTATTAAAAGAGGGTAGGAATTGGCTTTTGTAACGACACTGAATAAGCAATGAAATACAGTTCTGTACCCGAAAATCAACAAATAAACGCAGCTCCACCCAAAGAGGAAGCGCTCTATGTAGTTTTTACATAAAAGCCTTGTGCCAGATCTCAATCCTATAGCAAGTTATATTGACATATCATAAATCTCAATTAAAACATTATTTTAAGAAAAAGAGTTACCGTACAAAATCAGGTCTTAAATTGCACTGTGAGCTACCAGCTGTCACATGAAATTTAATTGAGGGCAAAATCAGTGCTCGTGTGACGTGGACCTTAGGCCACAGAGCTGACGCAGGTGCGCGGAGTGGGGTGACAGAGGTGCGGGACCTGCTTTTGCATCGCAGGGTCGGGAGGGGGCGGGATCTCCGAAACTGGCTGGTGGGTGATGTGAACTGGAGGCAATCCTTGAGGACAGCAATGAAAGGAAAGTGGAAACCTGAGAGGAGGGTGAAGAAGGGATAGTGTCTCATCTTCAAAGGGAGGCACAGGAGAGAGATTAAACAGAGGAATTACTGTGAGCTGCGAATTCAGCATTTCCTCTTTAAGAAGATTTAATCAACGTGTTGTCTGGGGGAACTGGCCAGATACAAACTGTGTGAGAAGAGGAAGGATAATGGGATGTCTAGAGTGGCATGGAAAGGGACTAGACATACAACATGAAAAAGAAGAGTCTGTTCAATTTGGTCATAGTATGTTTGAAAGGCACGCTTAAAATTGACTCCCAAATTCTTTATTAAATATTATAAAAGTCATGGAGCATTTATATAATTACCCATCGAAAGCAGGGAGCTGTGTTCAATTTCTAATGACCGTTTATATTAGAACTAGAGGAAAATAATTAAGTCTTTCTAAAACACAAATAAAACTAGTGCATAGCTGGAGTCAAATCTCTCTCTTTTGGTTCATTCGTAATCTTTCCTCTGATGAAATTCGTGAGCCAGATCTTCAGAGAGTGTAAAGCCATAGAGCGTTTCAAAGTTAATAGAGCTCTCCCAGCTTTTTGCAGTCCGGCCCCCAAACTTGTAAAGTCTATTTTTAGTTTTCTTTCCTAGCAATTAGAAAATAAGACTGGAAGAAAATTTCCTTCTGTGCCATTAGTTGCTGTTAATGGTTTTGCTGGCCATTAGCCAAGAAGCAATGCTGCAGATGCCTGTATAAAATATGTCCTAATATATAAAGTTGCACTGTTTATTTGTTTTCATGGGTATTTCATACTTGTGGACAAAAGAGTCCTCCTTAAAGAAGCACGTTGCTTATGTTTTAAATAGCAATAACTACAGCAATGTTTCACTTACAAGTAACCACTGACGTGGTTTAGGGCATGAATTTAAATCCACTGCTGGTGGATTTATGTCCTCATCTGTGTGGGCATTCTTAAACTCCTCAACCTGTGTCACATCCAGGAAACTTGTGCTGATAATTTGGAAAGGTAAATTAATTCAAGATCTCCTTGGTTTTTTAGACTGGTACAGTGTTATTTACCGAGGAATTTAAATTGTACTCTGATTTAAGGTGATCTGGCACAGGAAACTCATGCCCAGAAGGTGAAGAATTTTTATTTAAAATCCAGAGAGGAAATAGGAACTCAGGGAATTAAGACTATTTCCTTGGGGCAAGAGGATAGTGCAGGACAGGTGAGTTTCAGGAAGGAGTAATTTTCTCTTCGACAGTAGAGAAACTGTTGAACAGAACTTGCTAACCAATGAGAAAAATAAGACAATGATAAGAACAGTCATAATGAGAAAATATTTTAATAGTAAAAGCAACAACAGTCAAACAGAATATTGCAGAAAAAGGGAAGGGGTTATCAAGGTCAATAGTACATTGCGAGCAATCGGCAATACTTTCATATTTATTGCACGGTGTGATTGACTGTTAGATCCTGTTGTTCTTGCTGCAGCTGTTATTCTTCAACAATATCCCAGGCAAGTAGGAACGTGTAGTAAAAGGAGAATCTCTTCCTCAGAGAGCTTACCATGAAGGACACAGCAGCGAGGGGAGCGCTGGCAGTCAGGACACGACAGCAGCTAGCGCAGGGAACGCCCAAGCTGTGACCTCCAGAAATACCATTTGACAGAGTCCACTGAAAGAAGGTGTTGCCGTGGTCCCTCTTCTAGGGGGGATGGCGTCCACTGGGAATGTCTGCAACTGCATAGTCAGGGCTGCCGCTGCCGTCTGTGTGGCACCCGGGGAAACACCGCGGTGGCTACACGGTAACGCCAGCGAGCAGGACAGGGAAGGGTGCCTTGAAGGACCTAAAAGCGGT